ACTATTGAAGGGAAACTTTTGCAACAGGCAGTCTACATGCATCATGCGAAGCAAGGTCCATATAGTCAAGTATTCAATTATCTGTTAACATAGGCTGCCATCCTTGTCACATCTTAAAAGGAGGCACTTCCATAGAGAACTCAGCCTCTAAGCTTTACTCAACATTGAAATTGGAATGCTTACTATCAAAAGAAACTTCTCATATGAAACAGTATATACAAACATCACGAAGAGTAAAGCAAGGTCCTAATCAAGTAACCAGTAGGAGGAGCACGTAAAATATCAATAATCAACGTAAGCAGCTAGTTCTGAGGAATTCTACAAAATGAACAAATATATATTTCTAAACTCTTCCAAGTCAATGTAGATAAAAAAAATAAGAAAAAGCTAGTTCTGAGGAATTCTACAAAATGAACAAATATACATTTCTAAACTCTTCCAAGTCAATGTAGATAAAAAAAATAAGAAAAAGCTAGTTCTGAGGAATTCTACAAAATGAACAAATATACATTTCTAAACTCTTCCAAGTCAATGTAGATAAAAAAAATAAGAAAATGTGAAAATACAGACCCAAAAGAGATTGGCATAATATCCAAAGAACATGAACAACAGACACAAAGAAAAAGCTTTAAGATAAACCATATCTAGTTATAACTGCATGAAGCAGTATTCGAGCTTCAGAACATAAGGCAAGTACTTTAGAGTTGTACACTAGCGCTGCACAATTCCCAAACAATATTTCACATGCAAACATAGAGACAGAACCCGGTTATGGGAGAAAAAAAAACGTTGTCATTTGAACTGGATTCTACATCCACTGAAAGACAAAACCGTCCAAGCTCTTTACTAACATCACCACAACAACCTTTCCAAAAGGTACAACAAAAACATAATGTAAGAATATAACCTAAGGTGTATCCTGCTTCCTACTAATGAGGCTTCCCTTTGTAAAAGGTAACATTACACTTTGGTTGTATAAAAACGGAATTATCAATGAGAACACATCCCATATTCTCACGACAAAAATTAAGCACTAAAAGAACCTCATCTCAGCCACGAATTTCCAGAATAGTCGAACGCAACATCTCATCTCCAACAACAGATCGTAACTGTCTCATGAAAACTTCTTTCCCTAATTTTCCTTCCTGTAAACAATTTGTAGGAGAAGAGAAGTTAAGAGTAGTCAAAACACATAATAACGAATGTGCGGTGTTAGAAAATCCAATGCAACTTACCCGGTAGGAGCCATACAAACTTTGCAACTCCTGCACTTTCGGAGGTGGAAGCAAAGTACTTAGCTTGGATATTAATGTACCCATTGCATTTGAAGCATGAGGAGCCCACTTCATGGATGAAGCACAATTTGCTTGACCTATATGGGCACATAAGTGTTTCCATTTCTCTTTGAAAAATTCAAAAGTGATTGAAGCAGATTGAATGACAGAGGAGCAACATTTACCTGACATATGACGTCCATATTTGTAGCTAACTACGCATTCGGGAAGAATGTGAGTGTTCATATTTGCAGACCACACCACATACCACTTCGGGTTTGTCAAATCATCAACCCCAGTATCAAAATCCACACTAGAAGGATACCTTTGTTGAGATCCTAACTCAACCTTTTCGAGCTTTCCCAATATAACTCGACACAGAACAATATGCTTTTCACCATATTCATCTACCTCAGACATAATTGCACTACACACACAATCAATAACAAGTAAAAAAAGAAGAACACATGCAATTACGAGAACACAAAAATGAACTAGTTCAAGAACGGCATACCTATTTTGAGGTTGGCGCAAGGGCGACAAGTACACACCAACGCCATGAGCATTAGAACCATGTACCACGCTAGGCATTCCAAAGCCATGACGCAGAATGATCTCCACGTTCTTGGCTGATGTCCCGTACCAAGCATATACAACATTAAGGTTCCCCCCTCTAGTTCTCTTTATGATCTCCATATTCGTTTGGAAAACCTCGAGACGAGCCTTTTCCAATGGACCAGTTCTAACACACTGATGAATCGAAGTGACTGTAACACCAGGATCTACAGTCCTCAAACCCGACAACAGTAAACCCTTTACCATCTGATAGCCTTTCTCCTCTTCCCTCAATGACCTTGCCTTTGGCCACCTTGGTGAATGCAATTCAGTAGCAGCAATAACACGCCGCTCTTTCGCATTAGACGAACTCCGTTCTCCCTTCTCCTCCACTTCATTTTCCTCGCTTCCCCTCTTTCTCTTTCCTAACTTTAACTCTTCTCCTGAATTGTTAACTTCTTTATCTGAGTTGTCATCTGAGATTCTTATCTCAATTTCAATCTTAGGATTCTCAGAGGAAAAATTTTCATTAACATTCGAAGCTTTAATTTCATGATTTTTATCATCTGAATTCTCACTGGAATCAATGAAGACTTTAGGGAAAAAGCACTTACCATTAACATCAATCCAAGAAATAGAGCGCTCTTTCCCAGTGTCCAAGTCAATCTCTAACATGCGATAAAAATCAAAAAGACATTTTAACCCTTCCATTTCCACATCAATCATAGGCTTGCCACTCACGAAACCTGATACCATCACATCCATCACGTTTTTCTCGAAATTCACCCACGATCCATCCTTATAGAACATAAACCTCACCGGCTTCCCACTNCCCCACTCTTTTTGAAATTCCCGTAGTTCTGAACCAATAACTGCGCATGATCATAACAGGATGCCGTTTCAGCCGATGGAAATAACAATTCCCTCGGAATAGGAACCTCAATTTTCAATTTCTTCTTATCTACAACATCGTCCTCGCCGCCAACAATTTTCCTCGGAACAGGAACCTGAATTTTCACTTTGTTTCCATCGATAACCGGTGAAACGACGTTGTTTTGATCGCCGGCGATTTTCAACGGAGGAATGGAATCGGCTGGAGTTTTCATCATCATAAACTTCAAAACTTTGCAGTTCAAATCCATGGCAAAGAGATGAGATTCGAAACTGTATAAACAAAAATATCTTTGAGAAGCTCTGTAAGAGTAAGCACCACGCTGTCCAACGAACAAGAACTTCTGGAACTAAATTTCTTTGCCGCCTCGATATTTATACAACTGTTGATTGGAGAAGACGGTTACGGGAAATGACGGTTATAGACTTGAGTTTAGGTCGGCTTTGAGACTACCGAAGGGTGTTTCGGGGAATTCAAAATGAGAGCGTGAGAAGTGTGACTTTCTGACGAGAATTTGGATTACGTTAATACTAATAATCTGATTATTCTTTAATTATGAGTTGGTGTTTTTGGACTTTTTTGGTTTAATTAAAGGATTGCTTCGGCCCAAAGAAAATTGTGTGGAAAGGGACAATCCTGAAGTAAGAAGGAGAAAGATTTTTTCAAGGGTATTTCTTTTTTATTCATTTAACATAAATTAAATATTGCTTCATCAATAAGTACGAGTTGACTATTCGGTAGTCGTATTTTTATATTCATACATATACCTAGAATTTGACAACTTTTAGCATGAATTTTCAATAATATTTTTAGAGTGTCATAGACTCAGAGGGCAAGCTACTGAAATTCAAAGTAAGTCATTACAGTAATAAAGAAGTTTAAGAAAATTGTCCCGCTCATGTTTGACTGTTTGCGAATGAGGCAAGTTGTTAAAGGTTCTTATTTTTTAAATTAACATATAGGAGTATTAGTATACTATTTAGTACGTAGGGAAGGGGATGTTATATAGGTGGAGACCTCACACCAATCAAGCTATTGTAACGATCCGACCGGTCGTTTTGAGCATTTACACTTCGCTCGGTTGTTTGAGGGCATGAGTAACTCCGTATGATGTAATATGACTTATGTGAATCGTCGGTTTTGATTTTTAGGTTATTCAGAATTGATTTGAAAGAATGATTCTCAGCTAGAAGCTTTAAATTTGAAAGAGACGACCAAGTTTGACTTTTTGTGAATTTGAACCCAGAACGGAGTTTTGATTGTTCCATTAGCTCTGTTGGGTGATTTCAGACTTAGGAGCGCGCCCGAATTGTGATTCGGAGGTCCGTAGTTGAATTTGGCTCGAAATGACGAAAGTTGAAATTTTGAAAAGTTTGACCGGGAGTAGACTTTTTGATATCGGATTCGGATTGTGATTCCGAGAATTGGAATAGCTTCGTTATGTTATTTGGGACTTGTGCGCAAAATTTGAAGTCATTTCGGATTGATTTGTTATGTTTCGGTACGAGTTATTGAATTTGAAAGTTCAAAGTTCATAGATTTCAATTTGAGGTGTGATTCGGCGTTTTGATGTTGTTATGTGTGTTTTGAGGCCTCGAGTAGGTCCGTATTGTGTTATGGAACTTGTTGGTATATTCGGACGGGGTCCCGAGATGCTCAGGTAAGTTTCGGACGAGGTTCAGATTATTTCATTGCATTTTGGATTTTTTGCTAAGATTTTTGGTTCTGGTGTTTCCGCATCTGCGGAAGAGTGGGCACAGATGCGGACAATTGGCCGCAGAAGCGTAGCAGGCTTGGCTGGAGGTCATCGCAGATGCAGAGGAGGAGTCGCACTTGCGAGTGCGCAGAAACAAAAATTGTTCCGCAAGTGAGGGGTTTGCTGGGCAAGGCTATTTTCGCAGAAGCGAAGTTTTTACCGCAGAAGCGGTGGTCGCAGATGCGAGGAATTGTCCGCAAATGCAGAATCACTGGGGCAGAAGCTATATTATCGAGGGCTTTGGTTCTTTCTTCATTTTGGGAGCTATGGAGCTCGGATTGAGGGGATTCTTGAGGTAATTTTTACTATATGAATTGGGGTAAGTGTTCTCTACTCGGTTTTAGATATATTTCATGAATCTACCTTCGTTTTTGGTAATTGGATTGTGAATTTTATAGAGAAAATTGGGGATTTTGGCCTAAAGTTTCATAATATGAATTTTTGAGTTTTGAACATCGAATCGGGGTCGGATTCGAGTGAAACTAGTATGGTTGGACTCTTAATTGAATGGGTTGTTGAATTTTATAAATTTTGTCGAGTTCCGAGGTGCGGACCCGGGTTGGGATTTTGGCCGATTTTGGGCTTTTGATTCAAGATTTGATCTTTTCGATCGGGCTTGGTTCCTTTAGCATTGTTTGATGTATTTTCGTTGTTTTTTGGTTAGTTTTTAAGCCGTTTGGAGGTCGAAACGCGCGTGATGGCATTTTAGAGCATCGCTTGGCTTGCTCGGTGTTGGAATTGGCTTGTTCGAGGTAAGTAACTCTTCTAATCTTAGTGGTCCTACTTTGTTGATATACGTATTTTCACCATGTGATAAAGTAGTTAAGTTGTCAATCATGCTAGATATCATGTTTAGGCATTATGTTGATACTATTTGGACCCATAGTGGCCGTTTCTTACTGTCATCTCACTGATTTCATTGATATTTCATACCCAGATATATTCATGCATTCATACCATATCTCAGTCTCAGATATTATTTATTGATACATCATATCATTGTTGTAGGGGTAGTTTCATGACATTGTGAGCCCGTGAGTGAGACTAGAGAGATTGATGGTTGTGTGAGGCCGAGGGCCTAAGTGAGAGTGACATTTTGGGATCGGGTTGCACGTCGCAGCATATTATATTGTTTATATTTTATATGGATCGGGTTGCACGCCGCAACGATCCTTCGGGCTATATATA